AAGCAAGTCTAGGCCAGTCCATCGCATCTGGTCATACATGTATATTCTGGAAATTGATTTTAGTTACTCATTATTTGATTTTGTTTCCTGATTGAATATGTAATCCCCTAACTGGCCACCAAAATTGTTAATAAAATGCTGCTCAATAACAGTAATTCTGACATGTCTTTCCTGTGCACATTATTCCTGTAACACAAAGACTGGGAAAAGACTCTTTTTTACTGTTATTTTTTCTTTTTCTGTTATACTTTTATTTTTTTATGTTTTAAATATATAATTTGTGTATCATTTAATCTTTATTGTATGTTAGTCCAGATCTCAATGGAGATAGGTTGACAAAGTTATTATTGTTATTACAAACATGAACTATGTCTTCGATTTTTTTGATGATGTGTTTAGATTTCCTTAAATTTATTTATCAATGTACTAAAATTTTATATATTTTTTTTAGTTTCTAATTGTGGCTCGTGGTGCCGGTTTCTTCCTTTCCGGTAAAGTTTGTACTTCGCTTTGCTGACTATACTACATCAACCATATTAACTATACAGGCACTGTATTGGTACGCTTGCGCAGTTTGCTGGGTGGTGACCTTTCACTTCTTTGTTTGGGGTCAGATTACTGACTACATTCGCGAGGGACTGCACGGTCTTGATCGTCTCACTGTTCTCGATTGTTAGTGTTTCCGTTATTCTGGTTACTAAAACAAAATGAGTAGAATACCTACGACGCCGCAAGGTGACGACTACATCAAAAGGCATGGATTGGACGGTCTTTTTAACGTGAGTATAATACCCACGTTGCAGATTCACTCGCCATTGCTCCGTGTTTAGCAGCTAATTTTAGTGGCTATTTCGGTTGACCAAGTTATCCATAATCTACGATAGTTTAAAGAAGTTAGACTTATATGTGCTTTTCTATCCATTTCTTAACTTAATATACCGATTTAGAAACGGTTTATCGGACGAGTATTGTGCGTACCTGTGCTGCTATTTAACGATATTTAGCAGATACGACTAGCTAGACAGCTATAAATGGCGCTATTTCAACAAAAGACTGCTGCTGCTGTGATGACGTCGTAAACATCGCAAGTGGTGGGATACGACAGGGTGCGTGCACCATGTGGCGGTTTCAGTATTTACCGGTAAATGGGGCCTAGTTGGAAATTCGCTTAAAAACTTAGTTAGTCGATACAAACAAATATTACTACAAAGTTCTCCACTCTCTGAATTTTGTTCGATTTAGTAAATAATACAAAATATAGCTTTATATCAATTAATATTTAAATTTACTGTCGACACAACAAACCTATTCGGAGTATTCCAGTCATTTTTTTTAAATAAAACTTGTACAAATTTCAATAACTCTTGAATCCAACCTACCAATCATTGAGTGCAGTGTATAATGATGTCATTCAAAAATGTTCCAATGTTATTTTGTCAGCCAATAGAACCCTCTCACTTCATTTTTTTGTAAATCAAGTAAATTTGATCTATTTTTTCTGGACTGGAGTTTTAGAATATTTACCCAGTTGGCCAATGGGTAAAAAAAAATTTCTTTTCAATGAATAATTTAATATCAATATTCTTTTGTATATTTTTTTGTAATTCTCACACACCGTCTTGTATCCGGAAATATGTAGAAAAAAAATGACAAATTTTGTGAGTACTATCAATTTCAGTACTAGACATTGACGGTATATTCCACCATATTTATTTGAAATACAGCCATCTAAAACATACTATACTAGACCATACTTGTATGAAAATATATGGGTTGTTTAGTAAAATAACTCTTTTGATGAGATACCTTTACAGAGACTCATCTATCTTGACAGCTTTGCAGACACTTATTTTCTGGTCTCCGCAAAAATAATTAAAAAATATTCCTATGGATATTTTATATTCTTTCTATCAGTGTAACCATGAAGGTGGAAATAATGAGTGAATAATTACGGAAATTAATTCACAATTGTTGTCACTTTATTTTTTGCATAGTGTACTTTATATCAGTACTTACTTGATGACATAATAAAGCTGTTCATATAGGTGATCGTTTGTTGTCTGTCCGTTCGTCATCTCATCTGTCTGTCAATAATTACATGCTACCTGCTCAATTACTTTGATACTTGGTATGTAGGTACCTTGGATGATTTGTTCATTTTGTGACAATAGTTTAGCAAATACTTTTGTCATCTTTGATAAAAAGTGATATTTTTGTCTTCATCTTTAAAACAGGTCATCCAGTTGCTTTATTTTTGTCGTCTAAGGTTTGTTCAGATTGTTTGTGAGATGTGAATTGCTAACAGCAGAGCTATCTCATTCGAGGGGCTGTTTATAAGTAACCCTATGTCCTAATTAAGACACTGAATTCATTTATACATGTATTTACTAATTCAGGACATGAATGTACCGGTAGTATAATTTTTTTTTTTTTCTACTAAAAATGTTGGATTGTAGCATGATTACTGATTATTAGGATTCCTATTTCGATGACTTACATTTGTTCTTCATGCTTTTATGCTTGGTGTATTTATGATTCTGTAGGACTTGATGAATCGTTTACTGCAAGACAGACCAATGGAACCCATTTCATATCTTATTAAAACACTCACTGATATCACAGAAAAATGCAAAAATCCTATGCCTGTTGTGGTAAGTGACCATTTTTTTTGCTCTAGAATGAGAAATATTCTCTGCAGATTTGATGTTGCATGGATATCCAATACAATGTACATGTAGGTCTTAACACTGGATTATAGAAGAAGACAATACATTGTAATAACATAGGGTCAAGCAGCTATCCAATCAAAGACGTGAATTAACACATCAGGTCACTCATAGCATTTCAACATGGTGCTGACAGTGGTACTGAAGTCATTTAAGCTGTTGAAACACAAGAATCATGAAATTACCATGGAAAAATATAGCCCAAGCTGGATTGTAAAAATTAAATTATATAAAAAAGAAACTGTATATGTGATCATAAAATCCAAGTTTAAATCCAGTTTATTTAAAATGTTGTCTGAATATCATATTGCGATAACTTTTTTTTTTTGGTGCTTTTAGTTTTATTTCCTGTTTACCTGTATATCGGTCATAAATAGTGTGTGTGAAATGAGAGCATGCCATGTTCTAAGAGATGCGTTTAGTTATTGTACGGTATCTGGTAATAGCCCTTTGTGGCCACTTAGTGGGTATGGAACCCTGTTTAAAGAATTTTTGAGAATTCATTCAACATAATTAGATTCACAATTATTTAATTTACCGACTGTATCTTGTGTTTTATCAATTTAATAAATGATTATAATACAGGTATTTTATTTCAATCCTGTTCTATAAAAAGTTTAGTAAAAATCAGCAAATATAATATTAGCTTTACCTGTAGTACACTTTGGCCTCTTTGCTAAACTGCTGATTTAGCTTTTATGCTCTTCACTGTGAGCATAATGCTAGATTATTTGCAGTCTCTGGTTCATACATGTATTTTTCTGGTATTTTCAAAAATGACATGGTTAACAAGCATTGATTAATTTTTGAATAATTAATCTTGTTTATCAAAAATATTGCTTTATTTGTTAGTGTTAAAAAAATTTGTAATATATTAAGTCAAGTGTTTGCAGCAACTTTCTATCAATAATTATTATGTAGAATTTTAATTAGTATGATACATTGTGGCAAAATTGTGGTGATTAATTCATTCATGGTGATTCTACCTGGTGCTAATTTCCTGAAATCGTTACCAGTACTATAAATTGTTTAAACTTTGCTACTAGAAATTGTGTGATTCACTGTCTGTGTAAAGTTACCCAGTAATGTTTTGTGGTAAAACTCAAAAATACACAAAAAAATTGCAGGTCCTTTGTGGTTTTAGTTTAAGTCCTCTCAACCCATCTATGACAAAAATAGGAACTAAGTTTTGTCATACATGTGTGTGGAAGTATACAATTAAATGGTTTATGTGATTAGGTCTTTGCCGATTTGGACGTATTGATATTGATGTATTCTGTCATAGTTGCTTTCAACAAAACTTTTCTTGTCAAGTAATCGTCTCAAATCAATTCCAGTATTGTTATTGCTTTATCAAATAATTGTAGAACAATTTTTATTTCTTGATGATTACAGTTTACTTCTACTGTAGTGGGTTCCCATATGTTCCTAGTATGCTCTGATTTCAGCTATAGCGCCCTCTACATGTACATGTATCTGTTGCTGATGGCAAAATAACATGAATATTACAGACTTTTCATTATTTGTACATAATATTTGTTTATTTAGAGGATACCGTAAATTAAGCACAGAGAGATACAGTGAGAGTATAAACGGACGTGTAAAAGTTGATGCAACCATGTACTGTCTCATTTATTATAATGAATCTTCCTATACATCTGATCAACGTATGAAGCCCAGAACTGGGCATGTCATAAAAATTGGTGGAGCTTGCTATAAACTTTGTTTTGAAACATGCCTGCCATTTTGGAAACATTGCATTATTTTTCTGTTTTTTTTTTTTTTACGATTACAGTGATTAACCTTTTCACCACCAGACTTTCTCACCCAAGTTCATTGGCCCTTTTTTTCTAAAATTCTTCACTATTTCTGGAAATGAATCCTAATTTTGGAGCTAACAGACAAAATTTGAGTCAATTTTTAGTTTTTACTCACATTTTAGTCTAAAGTGCAGACGATAAATGGGACTGTTTTGTGAATTTGTGCTGAAAAGAGGGAACTGGTGGTGAAAAGGTTAATGTATATTATCTACAGGAAAAACTGTTTAAGTAACACACAGTAATTTCTCTCATTGATTTGCCCTTCCAACGTGAAGTAAATTGCTTTTCTATGTAAAGCCTAATACACCAAATATTTTATTTAAAAATTCCTGAACATGTTAACGCAATATTTATGCATCTTAGTACTGCTGCATCGTGTATGAAAATGTGTCTTTGTTGTACATCGTTGATGTAATTTCCATTTAATCTATGGATCAATCAATCAATGTCATCGTAATTATACATACATCGACAGTTGAATGCATGTAATTTTTGCATTAAAAACCATGGATTCAAACGATCACTTCATGTTTCAACTTGCTTGCTTTTATTTTGAGACAAAACCAATGCAGACTTAACATTAAAAATTAAATTTCAGTAAAGGTGCATAATTGTGGTGTGTCAGGTGGTGCTTTAAAACCCATTTTTGAATTCACTGTGACTTTATTTGTCATCTCTGGTACATTACAAAATGTATATGATTGCTTTGGATTATTGTGATGGATGTTTTTTTCTTTGCTAAATGTATCGGGACACATGATGTACATCCATGTGTTTTTTACTCCGTAGTCAACTCCACTATAATAAATTACAAACAACTATCCACTGAACTCTTCCCAGTCAATTTGTAAATCATATCTTACCAAAATCTTGTTTTCTAACACTGGCTAAAAAGAGTTTTACAAGTACACTGAATGCATGAAAAATAAACTTGTGAAAAAAAAGTTGTATTATGTGTACATTTTGTGTTATCTTCATATCGTGACTGTTGTGGGGGCTCTGTTGTTTTTTGGCATTGTTAGAATCAATGTTTCCTGTCAGTACCACAAATCTATCTTGGTGTGAGTACATGTATGTTGTTTCTGATTTTACATACCGATACAAGTCCCTTCCCCTTCTATTGAATGAGTACAACAAATATTTTGACTTGGTGTGATCCCAGGGTGTGAGCATGCCGATTCTGATTTTACTGAAATACATACATCACCATGATCTGCATATTCAACTACCTTTGGAACCTGTCTTTTCTACAGCACATGGCGGATTGTGCTACACCCTACAATGGAGATCAGGATTTCACATCAAATGTCAAGACTGAAGGCGTTATTGTTATTGAACCGCAACACAACAACATGGAGGAAATGCCTCGCTCTGCCGTGTCACCTGAAGTCATCCGAAATGTACTGTCTACGTACGCCACGGGTATCGGTGTTCCAATACAGTTCATCTTTTACCCGCTGTTAACTGCAGTGGCTGCAATGATGCGAAGTCATACCCAGTTGCGCCTAGCACCCCTCTGGACGGAGCCGGCAATACTGTGGACAATAGTGACTACGGGTAGGGGGGAGAAGAAGACAGCGGCTATGAAGATTATCGCTGATGCTGTGAAGGAGGTGGAGGAGCATATACGGCAGGAACAGAACAACGTACATGTTGTATACACTGACGGCAATGAGAGCCACCATCCATCGTTACACATGACCAATATGCAATTTACATACAGTAGTTTTCGTAAACAGATGGGTGAAAACTACAACCAATGCTTGCTTCTGCATGATGATATTTCAAGTCTATACGAACAACTGGAACATAAAACAGACTCCCAGCAATGTGATCGTAAAAAACTATACAGTCTGTACGGAGGTGAGCCATGGCTTACAGACGAGAATAAGCGGTCATCGACACCGAATACACATTTCAATTATACAGGTAAGACCAAATCACTATTGTATGCTTTACAACTTTATTTTTTCTGTCAAAACAAATGTCATATGACAAATTTTATTTTCGGCCAAGTTTGAATGAACGGTTTGTATCATACACATTATTTGGCAGTCAGTCTTTCGAAGTTGTCGATTATCAATAAAGAAATCACATCAGTCTCATCAGTAAATACATTTTGTACAATGACTACTGGTACATGTATATATTTTATAAGGCAATGTGCTACCCATCACAGTAGATGTTGCATATTTGATTTTAATGCATGCTTGTATGTGCTTACTCGCTTACAGAGGTATGTTTATGGTCAAAATAAGTTATATTTTGATAATTTAGTTTATTGTATACGCAACTATTTGCATACATTAGATTCTATTGAAGATGCGCTACTATTGAAGCTAATACTGTAACAGGGAATAAAATATGTCTTGCACTCATCATGGATTTTAAGCAGAGCTGGGGTTGAATTTGTTATTGGATCTCAGTTATGACTAACACAGTAAAAGTGTTACACACACAACGTAGATAATTATTAATTATTTTCTTTTTTCAGGATTTCTTCATCCAAACAAAGCCAAAAGTCTTCTCAAAATGGAGAATTCAGAGGGGTTCAGTGACTGCCACGCTGCCATCATATTCCCACAGCCAATCAAATTCTACTTCAACCACTTACAAGTCCAATCGGAGACGTTGATGACCCTGGGTCAAGTCTTGGTCAGTATCTATAATGTACATAACGAAGAGAGAGAATACTATCTCAGTGATGGGGCCAAACAAGGGTTTGCCGATTTCTATGATAGGCTAGAGGATTTGAAAGAACAGGTAAGCAAAGTATTACTATAGCTGTCTTATTATAACTGTATACGCCCATCCCTCGTGTGTGTTGGTGCCCCTCCCTATGTATTATGCTGACATCTCTACCCCAATTCAGTTTGCATTCACCTACAAGCTAGTTTTGTATTACTGGATCTGAAGTTTATATAACACGGCCTTTCTTCACAAAGTCACAGTAATATCAATTACCACTGTCCTATCACCAACATTTTTTTCCTTATCTGCTGGATTCTAAAAAAATCCCTCAAAATGTTATCACTTCTCAAGAGTTCAAATAAGTGTTTCATTTGATTAAATTTTAATCGACAATCTGTTGCTCGTAGCATGTTT